GTCATCACTGTCATCATCATCATTATTGTCTTCATTATTACTATCTTTATTACTATTGTAATCACTATCATCATACTGCCATCTTTATTGCCTTCATCATTGCTTATCATCACTTTCATCATTGACATTGTGACTCGGCTTCCTTGTGGTCATCATTTCATCATCACTACCAACATTATACTCATCATTATTGTCATCGTCATCGTCTATTTACTGTTATCATTGTCATGGCTCCTGACTGTCACCATCGTCGTCGTTATTATCTTCAACAGTGTAATCATCGTCATCATTGTTGTCGTTCGATCATGCCATTTTCTTATCGAGACGTTACCCATTTTTTCCCCATGCATTGATGATGTTTGCTTTCAACTAAAGTTAAAGGCTACTATTTTGCCACAATACTCAAGTAATCAAAAGCCTGTTGTTTGCATTCAATTAACCCTCTTCCACCTGAGCAAACATTTACGGTTTTCTTTTCATCTTTTCCGTCTTTTTGTTAATCTTTATGATTATATCCTAAAAATATCATTTGACTTTTGCTCAAAATATCTTTTCTACCAAGATCTTCTTTCATAAGAATGATTGTCGGAAAATAACGTGTGATGTATATACAACGCCACACGGTAGCTCAGTTGGTAATAGCGTCGGACCAACACTTAGGGTCTTAAGATTACTGAGGGGAAGGTGCTACCTTTGTAATAATAATATCTGCAAATGGTAAATCTTCAAGTCTTCTCGGATAAGGACTTAAAACCGTAGGCCATGCCTCCCAACCCTTCCCAGTTCAACAGCCTATCCCAATGTGGAGGCATAATACTAACATACTAACAAATCATACTAACCGGCTGCTACTTAATATGCAGCCCGTAAAGTCTTCCATTGATCTTGTAAAGCGCCATTAAAGCATTATTATTATTATTATCATCATCATCATCATCATTATTATATACTTGTGCTATGCGAATTGTTGTTCTCTGAAAATGAAGCACTAAACAACGCAAAATGAATTCTGATATTTAAAAAACCCCGTCTAGGAATAAACCTATAGAAACAATTCAGTCAGTTTTTACATTTCCGATAAAACATGTGTCGATTTTAAGATTCGTATCTTTAAAATAGTCTGATGTTGACTAATGTCACTTTTTTTTGTGCTGTGTAAACTATTGGTCGTTAAGACTAAACAAACATAGTACTTGGTTTTTATTATTTACAAAATTGGAAAAACTGCAGATAAAACATATCCGTTTATGCCTTTGTCATAAAAGATGGCATGAAAGATGTTTTGGAGTAATTAGGACTAGTTAGCGCTGTATGACAGAAGACAATGTCTCTTATGATTTTTAGAATTGCTTCGCCGACTGTTTTTCAGTTTTCAAAAAACTTATGCTTTATGTGATCAAGTACATAACGAAGTATATAAGACAGCGCCTAATTTTCATTTACGGCTTTTGAAGTGCCGTAACTTTGCAATTTTGAGCTATTTCCCAGTTTCTAGTGGTTCATGAGATGCCTGCAAGGAATGTTTTGATACAAAATTTCGATTTTTGAAAATTAATATCTTTGCGATTTTTGAAACTTATTGCTTTCTTCAATTACTAATTTTAACACGCCATCCAGTGAGTTTGAATTACATGATAAAAGTTCATTTACAATTTATATATTTTTTCAAGTCAACACAAACTTACAAATCTTTTGCCGCTGATACGCGGGTCTGCATCCCTGGGAACTTGGGCAACGTACTCTACCACTATGTCTAGTATAGATAAAATGAGCTCCCCTTGATTGGTAGACACATGTTCCTTGTGGTGCGTAGGATGGATTCCAATCATTTCGCCATTGGTGACGGCAGGTTGTCCACGAGCATGGACAGGAGAACGCATCGTGGAAAAGCTGAACTAAGACTATGAGGGACAACAAACAGCCTAACATCGCCATTTTGGGGTCCGTTTGGCTTCCGTGAATCAAACTGACTGACCCCGTTAGTCCTTCACTTCACAGTCTTTGAGGTATATTATGTGAACTAACAAAACGGATTTGATTACGTTGGTTTTAGTTGTTTGTTGAAAATTGATGTTTACTCTTTCCAGAAAAGATTGATGGAAAAGTGTAATTGAGAACTTCTCCCTCACACCCGGTGTCCCTGCTCAGCGTAATGTTACATCAGCTGCTTCAAACTGCTTCACAGTTGAGCAAATTATTTGTTCTTATTTTCTTCAACATTTCACCATATTCATGACATTTATTTCCTCTCCCTCATCGCCTTATTTCAATTCAATTTCCCAGACGAAAAAGCTATCACATGATGGCGCAAAGTCTATATGAGGGAAAGAGGATTTTGGTGTTTGTTCTTTGTGCAGACGTACCATGTTGCTCACTTATAGACCCCTTTTGAATTAATAATTCCCAATCTGGGGATGAAAACAAAAATATCGTCAATGAACACTTTTAAAGTCTATAATTTAGATTGTGAAGAATATTATAATAAACAAAAATGAAATAAAGTAAAGAGTCAATAAAGTTAAAAAAATAAATTCGAAGAAAGAGGCTTGTAGAAAGAACAGAAAGAAAATATGTGGATAGGATAACCTAGATTCTCAGGGCTAAGAATTAAAATTCAGTAGAGACTTTCATTCTTTAGTTGAGTATCTTTGTCAAGTAAATATAACAGTACTAATCAAACCAACAAGATCAACATTTAGAATTTATTATTGATATCAACAGTGTCATCTTCATCATAATGATTATCATCAAGTAGTATAGGGGATGGGGGTTCCAGCGCAACGACCACCGGAGGATTACCCG